CGAACGGGCGGCCGCTGGGGTGGCGCGCAGCCCGCCCCGTAGGGCCGGAGGGGGTCGGCGTCCGGCGAGACCCCTCGGGAACCGAAGATACTGAGGTTCGGGAGCGAAACACTGGCCGGCAGCCAGCGAAGATCCCCTATCGTCCTTAAACAGCCAAGTCGTGTCCCAGCGAGCTGAGTTACTTCAGATAGTCTTTGTCCCCTGGGAGTATCCCAAGCTCGGATTAAATATGGCGTTAAAAGCTGCACTAATTTGCTTGTGAGTTAGGATCAGGGGTTACTTAGCTCTACATCTGCCCTCGTCATATATATAAAGCCCCTATAAGTCTTGTGATTTAGATCAGGAAGAACTTTAGCAATAGTATTCTCAAACATTTTATTCTGTTGATGCTTCAGTCTTTTATATATTCTGTTCATACTTTTTCTGTTAACCGTATCTTCTAGTGTAAGCGTATAAATTACACTCTACATTTTCATGTATCCACTTCAAATTTCACAATTTTCAAAATGACAGTCTGAATACCAGCAGTTCCGGTCATGACAGGGTCACTGCTGACAGTACTGCCAAGCAGTCTGCCACACTGCTGCCTGCCCTCAGGTTTCCATCCTGGCCCTCACAGGTGGCTTTGCCTGCCCTCAAGTTTCCATCCCAACCCTCAGGTTTCCATCCTGGCCCTCAGGTTTCCATCCCGGCCCTCACAGGTGGCTTTGCCTGCCCTCAGGTTTCCATCCCGACCCTCAGATTTCCATCCTGGCTCTCACAGGTGGCTTTGCTTGTCCTCAGGTTTCCATCCCAGCCCTCGCTGGTGTTTCAGACTCAAGTTGGAAAGTCTGTGGACCACAGGGGCTTGGCCAGATGTCTCCACAGGTGGGCTGCTGAGCGCTTAGCCAGCATCCCAGGCAAGGATCAGAGTCCCAGGCAAGGATCTTGAAGAGCCAGAAGACCAACAAGCCCACTACCTTTGGCCACATTACTAGACTTCCCTGTTGTTTGCATAGTGGTCAGATGAGCACCTAAATTTAGTCAATCTAATTACAGTATTTTAAAAAATCACAGAGTTTCCTCTTTCTCGGGAATAGTTTTGTTCTTGATTGGTTGATGCAGCAGTACTACAGGCCTCTCTTTCTTTGACAAAGAGCTAGCAAACATCAGACTTGAGTGACAAGACTCCTCACTTGAGTGAAAACAAAGTGCAGGTGATCTCTCTATATGCATGCAAGTTGGCAAGAATTCATAGAATCATAGAATCATTTGGTTGGAAAAGGCCTTTAAGATCATAAAATCCAACTGTACCCGTCCACCACTAAACCATGTCCCTAAGCACCTCGTCTACCCGTCTTTTAAATACTTGCAGGGATGGGGACTTGACCACTTCCCTGGGCAGCCCCTTCCAGTGCCTGATAACCCTTTCAGTGAAGAATTTTTTCCTAATATCTTGTCTAAACCTCCCCTGGTGCAACTTGAGGCCATTTTCTCTTGTCCTATCACCTGTTACCTGGGAAAAGAGACCAACACCCACCTTGCTACAACTCCTTTCAGATAGCTGTAGAGAACAATAAGGTCTCCCTCAGCGTCCTCTTCTCCAGGCTAAACAACCCCAGTTCCCTCAGCCGCTCCTCATAAAACTTGTGATCCAGACCCCTCACCAGCTTTGTTGCCCTTCTCTGGACACGCTCCAGAACCTCAATATCCTTGTAGTGAGGTGCCCAAAGCTGAACACAGTATTCGAGGTGCAGCCTCACTGTTCCAAGTACAGGGAAAGGATGATTTCTCTGGTCCTGCTGGCCACACTATTCCTGATACAAGCCAGGATGCTATTGGCCACCTGGGCAC